TCGTTTATCAATGTACAGCTCAAGGTAGCGGACTACATTAGCTGGTGGGACAGGGATACTATTGTAGTAGATGGAGCAGTGGTTATTCTCCGAAGGGTGAAAGTGACATGTTCACATTCTTGTATGTTTATCTTCCACCACTTGAATCACTGCTCAAGTGATGTGACATGTGTTTGCAGGTTTCATCTCAACATGGCAGGATCTTCATGAGTGCAAAGGATGGTGGTATCATTAACATAGGTGGAAAGGTTTCATAAATGGTAGGGATAGATATAGATAGGTAGGGATATAGAGGATGGGTAAATGTACGTCCTTGTGGTATTCCTGCTTCTGAACGATAGACGAGTGATGGAGACCAGACTAGAAAGTATTCGTCGGTTACGTAGGACCTAGGATCATTCGGAGTGAAAAAAAATTTCCATTGGGATGGAAAGTATGCTATTCTTAGAACAGAATTGTAAAGGTTGATAAAGAAAACTACAGCTTTTCTAGGTAGATGTCGAAGAATTTTGGCAGTCAGTTCAAAACCAGGAGCCTTCTTGTGTTGGCTTATACCAATAATAGATAGAGAAATTGGAAAATATGTTAGATAAATATATCAAATTCACTTCTTAAGCTCACAAATCGAAACACATACTCGTCGCACAATCACTTAATACGTATTTGAAAACCTATAGAAAATGAACTACACTAAAAGGAAAGGTAAACAAGTGGAGATATCTAGTATTTAATGAAAAGATAGATGAACTAGCAAAAGATGCTATAAGAAAAGGTAGTTAAACTCATTTCACAGATCTGTACAGCAAACTAAAAGGAAAATACTGAAAAAATTGGCAAAACAGGTACGGAAATAATGACAAGGTTTTACAAAAGTGTACAACCGACATGTGGAACACAGTGGTTCAAGGGTGTACCCGTAATAAAAAAATATGGAATTAGGTTCCGGTCTCATTTTAAAATTTAAAAGCAGGCTTCCACCCACCACTCCTAACTAATCCTGAATTCCTTGGATCGCTGGTTGAAGGCGAGAATTGGCTCTGAATTTTCAGTCACCAAGACCATCAAGGCCGGCGTTCCCTAAGGGATTATCCTAGAACCAAACATTTACACAGTTTACACGCTGACATTCTGATATACCGTAACACCCACGTCACAACTTTCACGGACGACCCTGCAATCCTTACACTCTGACTTTAACTTTGCAGCAGAAGCAACGCACGCACACCTAGGCGTTCCCAGTTAGAAGACGTACCTGCCCACGAGTGCAGTAAGGTATATGATCTACATCCAATAAATCCGTTACATTTGGTTCGGAATTATATCGAAGACACATAAAACAAACAAAAAATCAAGAACTGAACCGAAGATAGAAACAACTCAGACACGTACTTGGACCCAAATCCGCACTAAGTACACACAAATTAACAATATACAAGACACTAATTTGACCAATTTGGATTACGGAGTCGTGCTATGGGGTGCAGTGAAGCCATCTAAGACCCAAATAATTGAATAATTTCAATCAAATGCCCCCCCATCGTCAACGCTTCTTTCTATGTCCCTACCCAAATCAATCACAAAGATCTAGACATCCGATTCGTGAAATTCATGATTTGAACATGATTCTCAACTTTCAATCCACCAGCTCAAGCCCTTCATCAACGTCCCAATCTAGAAAATCTCCACGTCGCCTTAGATGACAGTGGCCTAATGACCTAACAAACCCTAAACCTCTCCCCCAACGCCCTAGTCTGAAAGGTTCCTCCCTGATCTTTCGTTCACATCGATAAAGGTATAAATTTTGTACAGAATGCAATAAAAAAAAAATTACGCGTAAATTTCGCAATTTGTTGGGGAATATTAATACAAAATAAACAGGGTTCAGGTCGATGTGACACGTATTTAGAGGTGGAACCAGATATGTTAAAAAGAAAAGTAGAACTATGATTTATTTATTTAGAAATCGTGAGATGCGGTCTGGTGTGATGTAGGTTTCAGAAAAACATTTTCTTTACGTGCCAACGTTTCGATCATTATTGAGATCATCTTCAGAGCCTGGGATTTACAAACATTGTTTACATATTACAATTACATTTTGGATGTGGAAGGACTATGATTTATCTTAATGAATTTCTAAATTTATCATTCAATTACAGTACAATTTTGGAATCAAGTGATGTGCTACAGAGATAGTAGAATACTTAAAAGATTGGCATTGTATGGCGAATTAATGAAATATATTGAGACATGGGTATGACTGATTAGCCTAGCGTAAAAAATAGCATCAAATATACTCTGATAGGTGCAAAGTGGATAATTAGGTAGGAGCTGCAGTAATTGTTTATAGCAACGACAAGATTAAACTGAAGCTGGGACTAGCTTAGCTATTTCCTTTCCTAGAGGCACTTCAACGACTCTCACTGCAGCATAGAGAAGAGAACATTAAAAGTGCGGTAATAAAGACAGATAAACAAATTTCTCTAGACGTGTTTCAAAATGGTAAACAAAGGAGCTCAATGATATCAGAGTAATTGTAAAAGTAATCGTGATTGGATGGAAGATATGCACAAAAGGAACAGCGCACCCGAACCTCGCAAAATACAGAACTGGAATCAGTACCAGTTGCAGCATCAAAAAGATATGTCTTAGCAATGAAAACAAAGAAAACTATAGCCGAGTTAGAGGAACGCGGTACACCAAATGGGTCACAAACCAAGCCATTCTTCCTCACAATACATTCGAGGATAATGCTGGATGGACAAACTTCGTTACCAACTTTTTATATAGTTTTTCACGGCTAGAACGAGAATGTCCCATTAAATTGAAACTTTTTATGACGTAATGAAATCGAAACCGAATTCGAAGCAGTCGCAGGTTAACAGCTTCCCTTTCCGCCGAGATTTTTACGATTTAACATGTTTATTGTTGGTAGCTGAGACAATTTTAGAACAGTGGACATTTCCGTTAGCCACTTTTTTCTCTTTATATCAAATGCAATAATTACATCCCGCCACTACTATTCTCTCCTTCTTTCGTCTATTTCTATTTTCTATTTCGAGACGCTCGTTGGTGCTATTGTTTGGTAGAGGTTTTTATAGGCGGCATTTTATCAACATCGACATGTCTGTTGCTAACATTAAAAAAGACGAAGGATTTGTAACCCTTTTTTTGACGTTTTATCAATTTTGGCAATGGCATAGAGTTTGTGAAATCGTATATTTGATATTGTATCTTCAAGTTCAAAAGAGGACTGGGATCGTAAAAATTAATAAACAAAAGAGTTTATGTGCGGTACATAATGTCTGAACTGTTAATTTTTTTGTCTATTTCTACTATTTTTCACTACATGCTCTGTTGAACAGTGGCTAACGCCCTAATCCAATTTCGTCGCGGATTATAGTACATTCAAAAATAAAGACTGTATGCTTACCAAAAACTGGCAGTAAATTTGGATAATTAAAATATTAATTTCAAGCCCAATCGGTCTGACAAAAAATGTTGTTTAGTATAAACTTGATAATTTGCCAGAAAAAAACATAAAATATAAATAAATCGAAATGAATTGAATATAAATTGTTTGGCTGGGGTTTGATTTTTAATGAAATATTTCTGTGAACCTGTCTGTGTTTAGGAAAATAAAGTGATTAAGTTAAAAAAATATTTTAAACTAAGCAATTATTAAAAACAATTTTGTAATAGAATGTTTATTACTATCAACTTTTTTTTTAGATAAGTAGAACAACTTTTATTTGAGAAGAGAAAATAGATTTTTAAAGTTAGATGCATCTAAATTTGCTTTAGTACGGCCCAACATTTCGCTCAAGAACGTTCACAGATTTATTGTGAAAAAATGAACATGTTAGTTTATTTATTTATTTTTTTGTATTTCAATAATATTGAAATATTTAGGCAGTATTTACGCCATTTGATTATAATTAGATTGAAAACTTAAACAAATGTTTATAAAAATATTTAGATCAACAATCCTTTATGAGCTTCAAGAGTATAATTTTTTTTCTTTAAATGTAAAATTTTTGGTTCAGTACAATGATCCGACAATAAACCGATTATCCTATTTCTATCTTCGACGACTTAACACCGAAGTTGTTTTGCATAGCTAAGTATGTGATAATTTTAAAGCGGAACTTCCGAATCCGAAGATGTATTTCGAGAAGTGTTCTTTTCCGTAAATGTTTTCTCGGTTTTGTACGAACTTAGCCGTTCGATTTATCATGAAAGGACGGAATATTTGGCCTGAACCGCTTAAAAACAAGCGTGTTTGCGTGCTCCGGGTCGGCGAATTCTCCAGACTTTTTACCGAATCGACTGCCAATTCTTTTTTCCGCGTAAATTTGAAAATTTACGATGTTAAAATACGCAATTAAACCTTGTAGTACACGAGTGCAAATAAGGGTTTACCAACTAATAAACTATCAAATTTGACCATTCAAAAATGCCGCAACAACTCGGCTAAAAGACTTCGTAGAAAGTCTTAATTTTTACATGCGAATTTTAACTACGTTTCTAGTTGATAAAGATATACACATTTTGCGGTTATAAATAATACTTTTTTTCAAGTGATTTATAACTGACTACCACTGTCTAAGCTTAGAACATACATCAAAACATTTCCAAGGTTTTTTCCCTGCAGTTTCTCTTACTTAATCATTAATACTAATCAAAGTTTATTAATATACTCTGTGCTGGAATTTTCATTCTAATGTTTGTGCAGTAAGGTAGAAAATACCTACTGTACGTTTGTACAATAGTTCTGAAAATATTTATTTTTTTAAGAATGTTAAAAAGAAATGGTTTAAATTATCTGTGTTCAAGTTTTGTTAACCCTTCTATAAAATACACCGTAAACAACAGAAAATTTTAAAACACACGTTTTTAAGTATTGCTAATATCGGAGGGGCCAAATAGAAGTTTAAACATTGTATAAAAATGGATAAATATAAGTGTAAATTAAAAGTATGTAAAAGTAAATTTTGATTTACCTGTGGGGTCCATACTGATGTTGCGGAAGGGGTGGCGCGGCTTTGACTCTTAGACCTGGATTTCCAGATCTTCTTCGAGACGAGCCTGCTTCCAGGCACGACGCTCGTCGAACTCTTGGATTTGTGCATCGTCCCGCCACCTCCTGGAACAGGGGCAGATTTGTCCTGTAGGCCATGTAGTAAGTTTGTGAGGAATGTCTGGCCGGAGGACAAGAAGGACTTGGAAGTCGGCGAGGTCGGGGAGACGGTCCCCTCTGTCAGGCTAGACCTGGAGCTAGGGTAGTCGATCTCCGTCGTCTCGATCTTCAGATCCCGGAGAGCGACGATCCAACTCTCGTCCGTCTGTGCGGATTTGTCGGTCCCGTCGTCTTCCGATATCGACGGTTCCCCTTTACCCTTGATGTTACGCAGATTCCTGTCGTAGTTGACACGCTTGAAACGGTCGGCTTTGTCCGAGTCGACGCTCTTTTTCCTCGCCATACGCAAATACCTTTTGATAGTGTCACTCACTGAAGGAGATACATCGTCGTTATCGACAGAACTCCTCCTGCCACCTGCCGCCATGAATTTCGCCTCTTTCTCCGCGGTTTCCGCTTCTTTCGCCCTGACTTTCTTCACTTCCTCGTTTATCACAGCCCAGGATTGGGGCGGTATCGACCGAGTTTGAGTACCTAGAGACGTGATGCGTTCGGGTTCGACGACGAGCGGAGAATTAGGCGCCGTGGAGGATTCTGCGGTGTCCTCTTCTTCCTCCTCCTCTTCTTCTTCGGATTTCGGAAGCCATCCTTTCATTCTTACAGTAAACCCCCGAGATTTTCTTAGCTCGAAATACAGTCTTTCTAATTTCTTCCTGTCGGTCAGCAAATCGCTTATAACTTTTTCCCTGTTAGTCGATTTTGAGTAGTACCTCCTTAGAATTTCCAACAGGCTCGTGTCCACATGTCGCTCCGGCGTTATCACAGGTCTCCTGGATGAAATATGATCGAATTGTTCTTTGAGCTTATCAAACAGGATCTGTATGTCTAAAGACCCGTAGAGGAAATTTTTAAGAGTACTTATTAATTCTTCGTCCTCTTTGGGTTTACCGAAAAGAAACTCCTCCTTCATCCTAGGAAGATCCAACCTGCTCGAAGAGCTTGAAGTCGACGGCTGTTCAAGATCTTTCTTGATTTCTTCGGCTTCGTCGGCCGACCAAGTCTTCTCTCTATAGCTGCCTCCTTTCTTCCTTCTCCGGCCTCTTCTCATGACCATGGCGCCGGGATAAGACTGTTTCCTCCAGAGCAGAAACTTCGACTCTTTGCTACACACCTCCTGGAAGTAAGCTTCGATTTTCGGCAAATCCTCCGGTCCACGGATCGGGTGGCCTTCCGGGATGAGCCTCCTCCCGGCGTCGGCCATGTATCTCCACGTCTTCCTGGTGAGGAGCCATCGCTCTTTTTTCTTCTTACCGGTCGGCGAGAACTTGCCCATCTTCCCTGAAGGAGCTCCATCCATATCACCCGCACATCCCTGAAACTCCGCACTCACACACTGACAGACACTTGCCAACTTTGTCGAATATTTGTTTCTAATCTCAGCATTCCTCCCTCCCTCTATCCCGTCTTCTATATTTATATTCCTTCGCTAACCCGGGGAAACTTCCCGCCTTTGATTAATATCGGGTTCGATATCGCTCTTGCAGATGGCACTACTCGACGGCCAGACATTCCTCAACTCGGTATATCAACATAAACATTCACTAAATACCACCAGCTACAAGTGAAAAAATAACACAAAAACAATATGATAAAATTATCAGTCAACCAGTCTTAAACAGGTACACAAAAAGTTTGAAACGAAAAGTAAATAACAAAGAGCTAAACATAAGCACAGTTCAGCGTGTAAATCGAAACAACCGCATTTTTAAAATTCCACATTCCTTTCGTAGCATACTTTGAATCTGAATAATTCCAGATGCAAACTATTTTTGAAGTTTAAATCTTATTAAGAATTTTTACTTACCAATTGATAATTTACTTTTCTTAGCTGTATGAAATATGTATTTAACGTACCATCATTATTTAAGTGCAAAAGCGTAGATTATAAGATTGAATCTTGCTTAAATCAAATTCAATCAACAGAAAAAATGTTTTATAATTTCTAAAGGTCTATAGTTTTATTTTCATTACTGAACATTTTAGCCATAGAAACTGATCTTTTGTCGTCAATACATAATATGTAACTATATCAATGATTGTGGATTTTTTGAAGCAATATTATGTACAATCAATAAGTGATAAAATTTCATTTTTGATAGAGAACAAGATGATTCAGTAATATCATGAACAATTCATTCAGAAGATAGTGCTGAACAAAAGATAAATATATGAATCGGAAAACATGCAAGATAAATGTAAAATGGAAAACTATTTATTTGTATAAACAATTGTTTTTATAACTGGAATTCATGTAATTTTTAACAGAAGATTTATATACATTTAGCTCTACATTTTTAAAATATTAGAAAATAAAGTTACATTATACAGTAAACAAAAATAATTTTAAAAAAACACTATGTAATATGTATTATCGTTTTAACTTATCTAAAATATCAAGAAATGAAAGGTAGTGATTTTCAAGCGTGAATAGTAAATCTTTTAACATGAAGCTTACCAACCTTGAATCCTGTTGGATCCAATGCTGCTATTCCCCAGTCATTTTTAGCAACTCCTTTAACTCCGCATATCCTGATAGGGATACCAACACTCCGCATTATGGTGCGAAATCTTGGGAATTCAGTCATTTCAGTGTATCCACCTTTTGAGCATTTTTTACGTTACGTCATTAGATTACCACAACTGGTTTCCAACCTCTCCAGGTAATGAGGTGGGTTCTGAGACAATTGAAAGAAGGCATTTGAAAAAACCTGTTTGTACAGCTTGGAACTATAGAAACCCTCTCTAACAACGGAATGACATCATTTCCTCATATGCAAGATATAAATAAGAGTATAAATAAGATTTTAGGAGATACTTTGTCAGGTTGCGTGTTTCGGCATTTCGCAACATTTAGTGTTTTCCAATAAGTACAGATTGATTTATGTCAATTTTATAATTACGACAATCTCTTTGACTTTTTTACTTGTCCAAAATGCTTTTTTCATACGTTTCTTCAGTGTCGATGTTTTAAATTAAAAAAAACATATATTTTTTATATAATTTAATACGAGTTGTTCACAGGAAGTCGGAGTGTTTTTTTTAATGCTTTATGATACTAATAACGTTATCTGTTATGTTAGAATAAATAAAATTAACTTGTTCTGATTCACGTTTGGTAGCGTGATAATTACAATTTAATACATGGCAAAATGTCGTATGTATTCCATTCATGTTAGCATCAACGGAGTACTACCAATGGGTATTTTCTCCACACTTGTTAATAATTATACGTATATATATTTTCAATCTCATTGTTACATGTTGCCGAATACGTAGTTATAATGTACTGCAAATTTAAAAAAAGAAAGAAAAAGTATTCTTTACATCTGAGATCAATTTAAAACGTAGGTTATACCATCACGCATTACTGATCGGTTTTGAGGGTTTAGCATTCGCCAGGCGCTCTCGCAGTCACTGGTTGATCAATGGTGAAATATGTATAAATTTTAATTATTTATATTAATAAATTAACATTTTTACATAATTTGTAATTAATTGTAGATATTACATAATTATTAATAAATTATTACAATAATAAAATAACAATACAATTAATACATAATTTTAAATAATTATTACAGTTTAATTCGTTTAATTTAATATTACTTTTTTTAAATGTAATCACTAACCATTTTAAACTTATTATAGAGGAAGAATTTATTCATTTATTGAATTTATTGAAGAATTTATTCATCAACTTGGTATATTGTTCAACAAATATTGAAAATATGGAAGGGAATGATATTTGTAAAGGAACCAAATTGCAAATTGCTTTCTTCTAAACTCCCTCTTCCAAAATACACCTTAACATAATAATACTCCTGCCCTATTTTTTATATGTCTATAATGCCTATCTTTTATTTTTTCACTAACTACCAGTTTAATACAATAATAACTACTAATTACTACTACAATAATTATAAAAAAATTATCTTCATATGTTTTATTCTTGACTCTGCTATCTGCAACTCTATCTATCAACCACTATCTCTATCTACCTCTTTATCGATCCACATCCATCTAACATTATCTGCACGACCAGTTCATATATACCTGCAGACCAGAATATATATATATATATTCACCCTCACCCTCACTCCATCTCTTTCTCTCTCTATCCATCTATCTACTCTCTATCAGTACATCAATATCTCTTTCTCTTACTTACACTCTCTCCCCCCTCTCTCTCTCCCCCTCTCTCTCCCTCTCTCTTTCTCTCTCTCTCTCACTCTCTCTCTTTCTCACTAACTATCTAAGTTATTAGATATTAGCTATTTATATTTCCTCTCTACTTCTCTATAGGCATCTTTATTTCTATCTTTCTAACTATTTATATATGTATCTATTTATCTTCAATTCTTTCTCCTCTATCTATCTATTTCTAGCTATCTACATACCTCCTCCTTCTCTCCGTTTATCAATTAGTTTATGTGTTTAATTATTTCAGTTATATGTAGAACGTTCTCTCTATCTATCTATTTATTTCATTTTCTATCTAGCTATCTATATTTTTCTACCTCTTTTTCTATATATCTAATCAAGCTATGTTTTCCTCTTATTCTATCTATCTATTTTTTTCTACTTATTTGTCAATTAATGTACTGTGAAAAAACGCCTTATGTTCCATAAATAATTATGTGAGCAAAACGCTTATGTTCTATAAATAATTATTTATGGAACATAAGGTATGGAGTTGCATAAGATTATAATTATTACTCTAAAGAAAATTATGTTCATCTATCTTTTTTCTATCTATTTAATAATTTATCTATATTTTCTTTATTTTTCTCTCCCTTTCTATCTATCTATCTAACTATCCATCCATCTATCTATTTTTCTATCTCTCTCTTTTTTGTTTTTCTATCTATCTATTAATTTATCTGTCTAACTATTTCTACCTCTCTGTTTATGCTATTTTCTATCTATCTATTTTTTTCATATCGACCTATGCATGTTTTAGTATATGTGTTAATCTATTTATCTATATGTCTATTTTCTGTAACAAACTCTACCTATCTATTAACGTACTTATCAACCTACCTATTTCTTAGTATATGTCTAGTGTGGTGTTTGGGTAGTGAGAATTTGGTTTTGTGTCGGGTGAAGTAGTCATGACTTAGGATAAAAATTTTAAACTTGGATCGGTGATCGCAGACTGTTTTTCCCTATAAATAGTTTTTCGATTTGATTACTAACTGATTAACTACTTATCTCTACATCAATATTAACTCTCCTCATTTCCTTCGTCTCTTTTATCTCCTACTCTGCAACCAACTTTAAGAAAGTGGTCGTTTAACCTCTTAATTGGCAAATAAATATCCTTTGAAAAAGATATTTTTTTAATGATTAAAACTGAGTCATTATGACGGCAAACAATTGGTGTCCCTCCTACTCTCTCTTTTCCCCTTTTCCACTATCTTCTCTTTCTTTGAATTTTTCTCTCCGAAAAATATGGAGACGTGTAGATGTAATTTTTAACAAAACATTGGATTGTTTTATTTAGCATTAATGCTTATTTGTTCCATTGAAAAGTCGATTAAACCATTGCACATCATGTCTTGGTAGTTTTTGTTCCCGTTTGCTAGAATTTTCTGAGAGCTTTTGCGAATAAAAGACAAGCAGTTTTAATTGGTACTATTTTCGCAATGTGGGATGTATTGACAGTTTTGAGAAAGATCGTAGTCTACCCGTGGCAATAATATGTATTAAAAGTCCAACATTAATATGAAAAATATTTAAACAACATTTAAGGTATGTGAAGTCTTTAAGATTCATTATTCGTAAAACATCCCCACTTAATAGAAAATTTTGCAAAATTGTAATATACATGGAAAATGTCTTAATGTAAAAATGTGATATTTATCGTAAAGCCAAATCCGGGTGATGTCAAAACTTGATAGGGTCACAAACACGCCAATGAAGTGGCTCGCCGGCGGGGAACAAGCGAACCACGGCCGAAGCGCGTGCATATTTTTGTAACAGAGGACGCGACAGACCACAAAAAACTTCATTTCTGACAAAATAAATAAATATAGAGAACACAACTTTACAAATATAAGAGTGACAGTATGTTATGAGTTCTTTGAATAAACAGTTTTTTTTTTGTGTGTGTCAATTATGAATTCCTGCAGCGAATCTTGAACTATTTTATGGGAAAAGAATAACAAAGTGGCTGTTCGTAGAAATTCGTAGAAGATTTGTAACATTATCCCATCTATTCAACATACATATTATAAACATTCATTGTCATATCAACAATAAGACTTACTTACCTCACTCGTTTTTCAATAAGTTTTATCTCTCTCTGTATCTCACTATCTCTTTCTTTCGTTTACAATTAAAAATAATAATAACTATATACTT